TCTGTGTGTGTTGGTGTAGCAACCACACAGCTCAGCTTGCTGCACCCTCCTATTGGGGTTTCTCATGCCGTCACCAGTGAGATGAGCTCTTTAGTCCTCTACAGAGCGTCTCCTCTCCCCAGGTCCTCAGTTTCCCTCCACAGCTGCCATCATGTGATCGGGTCTTAGTATGTGTGATGGGTTTTGTCTAGGGCTAATGCAATAGGGAAGATATTAAATGGGACCCCTCAGACTGCCCTACCAACTGCTGCTGATTCCTTCCCTCTTCTGATGGTCCCCGATTCTGGAACAAGTCACAGCGGCATGAGTCATCCATAGTGATTCCTCGTGCTTAGAATTCTGCAGACAGCACACTCCTTCTGACTCCGTCCACCTCGTAACTCCCTCAGCAGTCACCTGTCTCCCAAAACACTCTTGTTCCCCAGTATCCAGCCACCAATAATATGACAGGTCTTTGCAAAGTGTGTGTCCCCTACCCTCATCCTCCTGAACCACATCTTTGAGGGTCTCCATAGCCTGGGAGTCAAACTCATACTTCAGAACTGGCATTGAAGGCCCTTCCCAAGTCTATCCCTGCCTCCCTTCCATGACTCCTCACAGTAGCTACCCAAGGCTTCCTGCAGCCTCAAACTTGGTGGTGCTTTTACTTCTCATGGCCTGTGTGTACCCTGGGATGCTGACTCCACCCCTGATTGTCAACTCTTTCTTCATTATGTATAAACTCTCTCTGTGACCCACCCTGATACCCACTGTCCACCTAGATCCCACCCTGGAGCTTGTCCAGTGATCAGCAAACTTGGCTGTATTTGTCTAGGGAATTTTCCAATGTCCACTATATGTCTAGAGTCCAGAAGGATAAAGAGGATGTTTAGAAAAAGGAAACAAATGAGAGAGGAAGTCCAAGGTCTGCCTGAATTCCTCAGCGATAAGGGCCAAAGGGAACTGCCCTGGCTCTGTCCTCCCAAGGGCCGTGGTTGACCAGATGACCAAAGGCCAATCTCTGGCAAAGGATTGATGCTACACAGACTAGGGTCAAAGACTTTGGATGTGACTTACTGGGTGACCTCAGGTCCCTCTCTGGGTCACTATTTCCTCTACATTCTTCCAGACACTGGTGTTTTATTCAACTAAATTTTGGCAAAGACAGTTTAGCTACTGGATACATACCTCTTCATGGTTCACAGCTGTCCAGGATTCCAGATTACCCTGGGGAATCCTGGATCCATGCTCTCTCCTCTCTCTGACTCAAAACCGTGCTCGGAGGCAGTACTTCTGGAGTGGCAGTTGCATGGTGTCAGCCAAAATTTTATTAAAGAGTAGCAGGCAGAAGTGGCTAAGAACTAGGTGTCCCACAGTGACTCAAAAAGGAACGAATATCTGGAGGTGGTTGTTGGTAACCTGTTTGCCTCAGAATATCGGAAGAGATGGTTGTTGGTAACCTGTTTATCTTGTAAGCATAAATACTTGAGTTAGATCGCTGGAACTGATGCTGAAAATAAAGGAAGAAACAGAGGGAATTAAAAAAAGGAAGGGAGAGGGGGAAGGAGGAAGGGAGAGGGGGAGGGAGGAAGGGAGAGGGGGAGGGAGGGAGGGAGAGGGGGAGGGCGGGAGGGAGAGG